AGGAGCATAGCCAATGAATTAATTTTTAGCATCTCTTGTCAATTAAAATTGCTCTGTAATATCCTATGGCAGAGCTGAGTCTTTCTTTGAAGTGAGCCTGAATTCTCCTTCGACACAAATTAGTACCTGTGGCTATTTACTCATATGTCAGCTTAGTATTTTGTTCTGTTTTTCATGGTGGAATTTTTCATGAGGCCCGAGGAAACTGGAGGTTTTCCAGACATGACATTAAAAGTGAAATGTTACTTTGGTAAATGTGAGAAAATGATTGGTAAATCCAGAACACATTTTCTTACATATTCATTGGAATTTAGTTTCCATTTTGTCTTTCAGCCTCACACAATTTTGGACAAATAAGAGTTTTCTACCTAAGTATTTATAGTTTCTACAGCTACTAAGGTAAGAACTGTCTTGACTTGGTTTGTTACAGAATATTTATGCTGTGTCATGCCATCAATTTTCTAAATAACACTCGGGAATAATAAAATAACTTAGAAAGCAATCAAGGCAGTCATTCTCTTTTGAAATTTGCAGTTCATGGATTTTGCCTTCTAATATAGCCTTGACTACAAAATCCGTTTTGCAAAACACACCCCACCCCTGAAGAATCTAGACTTCTAATTATTCATATCATACTAGAAATGGAAATCTGTAACTTTTCTGGAACCCTTTAAAAACAGTCAATGTATGCTACCACTGATGATCATATGAAAAATTTTCCACGGCAGGGATTTATTACAAAGGCAGAGCTAAAGTTTGTCAACAGGAGGTTCTTTAACAATGAGATACAAATAGCGATCTGAATTTCTTACGATTCTGAAACTTGTGTTTTGCCTGTTAATGTGTTTTGGCTCAGCTGATGAAAGTTATCACAGCCAGTTCTGCAGCTGAATCATATCAGTGGGTTCTTTGGAGGCAGTGGTGTGAACACAGTACTGCTGAATGCCAGCAATCCTTGACTGGCATGGGGGCTGCTGGAAACTCATGCCAGTCATAGTCCATCAAAGTAGCTTCAGGGCTACTCCAGCTTAGGCTGAGTGCTAATTGCCTCCCGGGGCTCTCGGGAGATGCATACAGTCATCCTTGCTGCCCCCTGCCATCTCAGGCCCCCTTCACAACACACTTGTGGCCACCCCTAAGGATCAGAACCTGCATACACCAGAAAGCAAAAACCTCTGTGCCTCTCCCTGCAAAATGTAAGAAATTTGATTAAATGAGTATCTGGTTTGAACTAGTAAAACAGAAGCAGCTGTAGGAAACAGAGACCATGCCTTCAGAGCATTCACATGGCTTCTAGAACTGATTTTGACTGTGGGTATCACTATAAAATAATATTTCTCCTAACCATTCTATGATTCTAAGTAAGATCATGCTTAAAAAGGGATCATGCCATTTTTTGCCTTTACTGTTTCTAGCCAAAAGTACTCCTTTTGCACTTCGACAGCATCTGCTATTTGAATATATCAGTCAACTAAATCTCTCAATACTTGGGTAAATTTTAATCTATTAATTAATGCAAATTCAAGGCACAATGAAGTGATTTATGTAATAATAAATATTAATGAGTATGTATTTCAATATGATTACATTTCATGTACTTATAAACTCTCTTTAAGAAATAAACTCCTAAGAAAAAGTAACTTGTATTTCTGTTACTATTTTCATTTTGAGAAATGAACCTGAATTTTATATTATGGGGCTGTTATTCTGTGAATCAGTTTACAGCAATCAGTGGATATAATTTTTAATATGAAAATGTTATTCATGCATATTACAGTTCCAGGCATATATTATCCTTTCCTGAAAACAATCTCCCAGTCTTTATGCAAAAGACTGGCACATGGGCTCTGCGCAGGATGTAAATCAAGTTCTCGTTTGGCTAAACCTGATTACCTCGTAAGATACTGATCTTGCCTAGTGATAGTGGAAGCTAAAAATTGCAAGCAGAACAGTCCCCTTAAAATAGGGCCAGGAAGGGTCAGCATCTAAATAACAAATCTGAGTTTTGAACTAGATTTTAATTTTATCCCTAAGATTGCTCAGTTAAAACATAGAAGCTATCTTTCCAGTAGTTGCTGCTGTTACTTTTAAAACTCCTAATGAAATTGAGAAATGCATTTTTTATTTAAGATGTACAGTTCTTTATTACTCGTATATAAAGGTGCTACAATCACTTCAACCTAACCTTTAGTTGGTCTGCCCGTCAATCCCCATTTGATGCTTCCTCTTACTCCTCTCATGTTGTATCAAAATGAATGCTCCCACAGAGAAATTCAGTGAATACCAGAAACCCACAGAGATTATCAGAATGTACCCACCCCAAGTCAAGACAAACGACCTAAAATTATTTGAGTATTACCAAAATACTGTTGCTTTTTTATGCACTTACTGAGTGCATGAGACTGGTAAAAAAGGCACATGCTGACACTACAAAATATGAAATACTGCTGTTCCTTCTGACAGGATTAGCTAAATACCTAAATGATAAGAACACTCCCCTGTATTTTTCCTATACTCAGATATGTGCACAGAAAAGTCACTCTTTGATCTATTTCACTAGCTTCAGTTACTGTAGCAGGCCTTTGTATACATAAAAAATTTATTTTTAGTAGTCTATGGCAGCTCCTTATTCTTCCTTTGATGTATAAAGGATTTGTGATCAATAATATCTGAAAGCAGCTGGCATTATTACAACTGCTCTGAGTCAAGGAAAAAAAATACCCAAAGTAATGCAACACTGGCAAAAACCGATAGGACTTTTGGCTGTTCAGAAAATGTAATTATCTCAGAAAATGTATGTGGTTTTGGTAATGAGACTCAAAATTTCAAATAGATTATTTTTAATAACATCTTTTCACAGTGGCTTTATTAGATATTCTAAATCAGAGCTCAACACTTACCTAATAGATAAATAGCTCACTCCTCCAATAGGCTTTAGATGAAGGGACTCGGCACCCCACACAGAATCTTAATGAAGGCAATGCCATAAAGGCATGAACTTTACTTACAGGCAGCTCAGAGCAGAATCCTAGCATGATCCAGCATATGCTGATTATATTATTTCTGGGTGACCAACACCAAAATTACATGTTCAGAAAACAAGTTTTAACTGTGAATTGACTGAAGTGCAATCCAAACCTTCCATCTGACCTCACACATCTCCCCTATGCCAACAGTAGAACACTTATATCTGCATGATGAGGCATATTAATTCAACTGACATCTAACACGTTTTTTCCTTGGATTAGTTCTAGTAGTGAATCAATTTCCTGATCTGGTTCAGCGGGCAGACACAAAAACGTCTCTGTTAATAAAAGTGAGCAGCTCAGAAGATGAAAATGCTTCTTTGGATTGACCTCTACCCACTTAAAGCACATTTGAAACTACCTTGGGGACCTCACGCTGAGGCTGTCAGAACGTGTGGCTGTCACCCGCCAGTCCAGTGGGGTTCTGGTCTCTGCCTTTCAGGGATATTTTCTTACATTATCTCATCATTCTTTTACATTGAAACTATTTATTAAAGCGTGCATTCACATTGTGGTCAAAGCTTATAGACTGATATAATATAATCACATATTTTACTATTATATAATAATTAATATTACTATTATAATTTACTGTAAATATATGAAGAATTACATTACATACCCACAGTAGTCTATTTCAAAAATCTATTTTCCTAAAGAAACATGGCGTTTTGTATCTTTTTAATAAATATATACCTTTTACAGTACTGATGGAGTAAATAACACTCACAAATAGTATTTTCCGGTTAGTCGGTTATCACCTCAGCAAACACTATTAATGACGTTTACTAATAACACAACAGTTAAAACCACAACTCAGTGACCATTTTAGCCCCAATGACAATATCAGCATTGTATGAAACAGCGTGATCTGCTATTGTATCATTAATACTTATTTCATCTTGCCAAGGAATTATTACAGCTGATACTGACAAAGCTCTCTCTGCTGCAGCTGAAAAAGCCTGTGAATAAATTATGTCATGTTTAGATATAAAAAACAGGTCAATGGCTAGCTACTAAGCTGACATTTACATAAGCAGAGCATTCCCTACAGCATAGCTTTAGGAAAACACGCTTCAATTTGAAAACATACATTCTTTTTAACAGAATCCTCTTAGTAGGTTCTGTATCAAAAAAATCATTAAACTGTATAAACGGACAGGGAGCACATTCTGAGGAACAGAACTTTTAAATTACAGATACATGGCATAACATTTTAAGACTTCATTTAAACCAACCTCCTTCCAATTGATGTTACATACCTCGAGGCCAGAAAAATCCCCCTCAGGCAAGTTCTTTCAAGTGCCTCAGAGAAACTGGTGAGAATAGCACATTTTTTGGAAGAAATGAACGAGTAGAAAGCAGTGCGTATTAGTACTAATGTTCTCCATACAACCAAGTATCAGTTTCCTCGTTTTCTACCAAGATTAAGTGACTGGCAATGCATCCGTTTTATTGCTCAGCAACTAAAATCTTTACTAATCATAGGTTAGACAAACTCTTGTCCAAGGGGAGCATATTTCTTTAAATTAAAACAGAATTATCTAAGAAGATCCTACTGCATTTGTAATTTATATGAAATCACGCCGTAAATAAAAATTAGAAATAATCACACTGAAAAGAGCATTATTCTAAACTGATAGCACATATACTCACAAATCATACCTGTTCCTTCAGCCATGTTGTATTTCTTCTACTGCCCCAGACAGACACCTACCACAAAGTGAGGCATTTTTGTCTATATATATGGTTGGTGGAGGCATCGTTCTCTGACCGGAGTTCAGGTACAGCATACGGAATGACATGTTGTTTAGGAGCCATAACTCTGCTAAAAGCGTGACCGTTGTAACCCCTGCCATTTAATGTAAACGAGTAACAGCTTTTGATAGTTTTTCTCAGAAGTGTTTTGGCTGGGAGATATTTTAGATATCCTTGGAATAAAAGGTAAAGGAAATCTGCATACTGATTGATTGCAAATTAAGGCCAATGGCAACCTTTATTTACATAGCTTAATAAAGAGGTTCAAGCAATTATTACATTAGTCGTTCAGATTCTGAACATCACTATAGACAACAAGTTTATAGCAGGCCTAGCTAGTGTTGCATTCTTCATAGAGCAGTGATCACTAATCTCCAATATTTTTCTTTTTCCAACGAAGCCGCCTCAGAGCTCTCGCCAATGCTACTTGTCCCATGAGGAATGTGATAGTAAAGTTACGTTTATACCAATCTCTAGGATTCCAAAGCCAGGAAAATCATCAGCACACAGAACAAGAACAAGAGAAAGATACATAATTATATTAAAACGTCCTTTGGCATTGACAAATGACAATTCAGTGACAACACGCTTTTCCATTCTTTGTGGCAACACTTTTCCTGCCTAATTAGAGTTAAGTAACCTATGAAAAGGTCTATGTGAATATCCACATCCATGAACAGATTACATGTAGACTATAGCACTACAACCATTGAGAGCTTAACTGTAAAAAAGTTAACGGATGGGTAGTTTTATGACTGATTGCATTTACAATTAGGTAAGATAAAATAATTGTAATCATATCTCATGTTTCAGAAGTAAAGCTGATCATCAAGCCATGTGGAAGCACTTCCTGCCAGTGCTGTGGGTAAGATTTGTTTGTGCATGTATGAAGATACATGTGTTAGAGAGGGAATAGCTGGTCACCTATAAGAGAGGTATGGGGGCGTGGGTGGAAATGACACTTCAAAGATTGATTATATAACCCAATACAGGAAACATTAGGTTTCTAATGCAGTACCCTTTAAAGACGATGCCTTTAATATTGCTGAAGTTAGTGTTTATATCTTTAAATAGTTTTTATGCAGCATGCATGACTTCTGCAGCCAATTCAAGATTGAGGTAAGATAGTCTGTATCAGCCCTTTTTAGCCTCTGAGAACTTGCTTCAAATTCTTGCCCCTATTATAAACTACCCTCATAATCCCTTTCTAGTTTCCAACAAGGATCACTCCCCCATTTTGTAAAATGTTGCACAAGAAGCAATAGAATACTCGTATGGTAGAACTAGCAGGGAATATTAAACACTGGGATTTAGGGCTTCTCTTGAGATCTCTGTGGGAAACCTTGCATGTACAGATCTAACATGAACCTGAGATACTCACCTCTCAGTAAGGATGGTGGCCAAAATTATGCTGACAAGCAGCACTGAGCTATCCCCTCGAATGTCACGTTAAATTAAAATATCATGCTAACACTGCAACTGTTTCTTTTCCCCTTTCATGTCTCATTTCCTAGATCCTTCTCAATATTTTTTTGCCTAAACTAGACTGTATTTCCAGGCTAAGTACCCTGAACTAAATATTCACGGTGTCTACGCACAGTCATTGTTTCAATTTTAACTAAATTTTAAAAGTTACAACACTTCAGTTGCCACAGTTTTCAGGCCAGCTGGCAACACTGCAAAAGAACATACAGCCGAATGCATAAACAGATTTTTATAAATATGACTCCTCAAAATTAGAATGCCTGTAAAAAGCTCCACAGATTTCAGGGCTGCGTAGTTCCACTTTGAAGCTACAATGATGCAGCTTACACCACCCGATTTTACAGGGCAGCAACAAGGAAGGCCATGTTTAGGCACAAAGCCTGAACTCTCTCACTACGAAGATGGGACAATATTCCGAGGTCACTACAACAGTGGCATCTGGTGACCAGTTCTAAGATAAACTATTTGCTTCCTCACTCATCAGTTAGAGGCAATTCGAACAAAAATCCTCTTACTAAAAATATTTTTTTACTTTCCATCTTTTCATCATGTTGCTTAGGTTTCTGGTGAGGTTCCCTCCCTCCCCCCACCCCCAGGCAATTCAAGATGTGCACATTTGTTTTAAATACTGGTTACAGTAAAATTGTTCTTACAGTCAGTATGTTACAGTATACACACAGTAAGTACAAAGAACACCAAACCACAATTTGTTACAGATCATTTATAGCAATGGTAGAATTCTCATTAGCTTTACACCATTAGGAACCCAATATCATTTGACACATTTGAACCCAATAATCGTTCAATTCAATACAGAGAAGAAACTGAAGCTGTGGTTTCATATTCAGTGGGCAGTGCTACTCTGACTGGATTAAGTACTATCCTTGTCCAGCTTCCCATTGGTTTCTTATTTCTACCTCTCTGCCAAGCGTGCACAGCTACCTGCCGGGTAACGTGTGTTTGCAAGTTGGTTTTCAGTTGTTTCAGATCCCCAATCCAGTTTGTCAAGCTGTTGTACAAACAGTAACACTGAAACAATGCAGATGATGTTGTGAAGAGGCACAGTGGATGTGGGCTTACCCAGCTGTAGCTGAGGCTCTACAAGGGTGAGTTCAGGTGATCACTTTACTAATGCTTCGCCACACAAACAAACCTCAAATACAAGGCTACTCACTTCAAATTTTCCTATATGCTCGCAAAACAAGAATAAGACTACTAAGAATAGAGTAATATTAAATATTATTCTTATTAAACAATTTTCCTTTGAGATGAATCACATTTACTAGTCCTTATTTAACAGTCAACTAGAATCTGTTATCAAGAAATTCGAGTGCCTGGTCTTGTCTCTCTGAATCTCAGACATGAGATTCATCTCTCCACTAAATCAACAATAAGCAAATGACAATGCAAATTTATGTCAAATGCTAATAATAGGATTTTTAAAAATAATTTTTTGAAATGATACTTTTAGGTACCGCTTTACCAATTACGGGGAAAAAAGCTCAAATTTCAAATTTGATCTTACGCTTTTCACTTACTGTAAGATACAACAGCCAACATAAATACCTTCTACATACCTGTTATACTGCATATGCTTTCTAAAATTTTTACTTAGAAAGTCCTGGTAAAAGTCAGCCATTTCTTCTGCATTCAGTGTTGCTTTTTGACCTGAAAATAAGTTTTTGCATAACAATGTCAAGATAATTCTTTGGATTAAGACACTGGGTTCAGATGCAGGAGAGCTAGGTCTGACTCCTTGTTCCTACAAGCTTCCTATGTAACTCTGAAAAAGTTAATATGCTTTTATCTTCCAATTTTTTACAACTTGTCTATGTAGCAGATTAAAAATACTGATTATCTTGAAGCTGGCATACTCTTAAGCCCTTATTACTTGTGAAAGTGATTATGTTTATCAAGTCTTAGATTGTTTAGGGAAGTAGTGGACCCCTATGAAAAATCCACAGATCTAGGAGAATCTATCCTTTGAGTAAAATTAATCTCTTGTGGGGCTGAAGACAGAACAGCACCAGTAAGAGCACTTACTAACTTATATTTCCCTCCTAAAGTAAGTCAATATAGAAAGAACACTATTCATGACTGACATGATATTTCCAGATGTACATTTTTCTCTATTGCTGTTGATACATTTCAAGCAACTTACACTAAGGAGTGAGATGTAAATAACCTGAGATGTCAGGTTTATTAACAATAGAGTAGACAGTTATTTTGTGAAGAAGCAAGTACAAAAGATGACTTTAAATTTGCCACTCTCATAAGTAAGATATAAGAGGAGGTGGATTCTCTCCACAGAAAATGAAAGGAAAACCTGCGGCTACAGCACAGATATAGAATCCTGAGAATCAGCAAATATTCTCAACTGTACCAGATAATTCCTACATAAGCTTTCTGGCACTTTCAATGTTTCTAAAGTGAGAATCAAATTTGAATGTCCCAAGGGACACAGATATGATGAGGGCGATGGAATTGTGATATTCAACTTGTTACTGTTCCAGAAGGCATTTTAAAGCTCCTGAGACTGATCATAGAAATAGAAATGTAAATTATTGATCAGTTCTATTTGTCATTATTTGCTAAACTAATATATTACAATAGATTAACATACGATGAGATTGAAAATTCACTCTAAGACTATCTGAAGGCTGCATACTTGACACCCATAGCTAATTTGTTTCTTCATGCTGGTATCAGCAGAACTGATTGTAGATTCACTTACATGAAAAAGTAAGTTTTGTTCCAACTGTTCATGTGTATTGTTATTACTCATATTTTTACATACACAACCAGCTATAGTATAGAACAGAGTTAATCAACACATGCAGCCAATATAATTTTATTTCTAATGGATGTGCATGCTTACTATTTTTCCTTCTATTTATAGGGTATAAAACTAAAACAAAACCAAAATGGCAATATAAAAGAAGCATTTTCTAAACAACGCAGAACTTAATTAAAATTATTTCTCAACCACATACTGATCACCAGGATACAAAGAGAAGAGAAAAATAATGGTCTGTGATACACAGAACATCAGAGCAGATGCTTTACTAAACTCAAACAGATCATTATTCTACGAACAAAACATTCAACCTCATACTACAATGGCCAATTCACTGTTGTTATGAAGGCATCTTGTTTTCAGTTTCACATAATGAATTAGAGAGGCAACTATTTTACAGCAACTGTGCTGAGGAAAGGACAGGCAGATAGCAGCTGCTGTGTCCTCAGAAGCTGTCTCATTCTCCCTCAAGGAAAAATACTGTATTCATTGTATACACTATGGACCTGAAGCCAAAGAGTGTTAATTTATCCACCCATCCATAACATGCACTTGAGACAAATGCTCTATATGTTTAGCTCCACTAGCTCACTGGGTTAGGAGGTGTGAAAGGATAAAGCCTCGTCCTCCTTAGACTACTGAATAATCACATTACCTGGCTAGGATTTCCGTGCATTCTCTCCAGCTGCGGGGAAGGAATTAGGATAAGAACATGCAACGGATGATCTGACCCCCACATGCACATCTCTGAAAAGCTCCTTCCCTCTTTTCTTATCATGTTCCTAAAAACACTTCTAAATCTGACCCTCAAGATTTACTTGTGACAGAAATTCAAAGTTAAACAGAATTCAGAATACATCCTAAACTATAAACAAAGATCTCACAAACCTGTTTCGTCTCTCATTTCCAGACCCTTGGCTTTCAGTCTTGAATAAATAAATTCTTCTTTTTCCTAAAACATGTTTTTCCACATTAGAATCTGATGTCCTCAGTCCTTGAAGTTAACCATTGTTTTTGATCACATAGCAGTGTAGTGCTTAATACCCTCTAAAATAATGGAAATATCAACGAAACATTTTCCTGACTCCAGTGAGTCAGTTAAACTGGTAACTTTGAATCTTAGATCCTGCTACCTGCATGCATCAATTAATTCATTCAATTGTTCTACTAAAACATATAAAACTTATTTTTGGAGTAAAGTTGATGAATTTCACTATTGTTTGAAAGGATCCAAACCTTCAGTTTGCAAGACAAACTACAAAGCTGTGCTGTATTGTATTATTGAGAATTTGAGCACAGAGAAAAACGTGCACCCTTAAAAAACTGAAATTACTTAGGTGGAAACTGAATAATTATTTTTACCTAAGTTTTTGAAACTGAAAAAGCAGTTCTACAGAATTAAAAAATAAGCTTCATTTTTTCTCTGAGATCTTTGCAAGTTTTCGTAGGATACGATGATCCAAGATCATCACAAATGACGGTGAATTACTGAACCGTTACTGTTCTTCCAACAAAATTCAGCATCTCCTAACCAATGCTGCAATCGGGAAAGAAGACAAACCATGACTGAGAGGTTCCCACTTTTAGCCTTGTTCGGATACATTGCCAGTGAAACAGGGCATGTGCCTCATTTACCCTTCGTGACTGCACCTAATTTCTCTCACTTATGACAGAGCAAGAAGAGCTGCAGAATAATTTTCAATAGCTGCTCTACTAACAGACATGTATAGTCTTGCATGTAGTGCAGCTACAAATTTATATTTTCAGTGCAAGACAGAAAAAAGGCAAATACCATCACACGCTGCTGAAGAGTGGCAAAATACACAGGCTCTATAGTTTTGTACGTCGTTTTAAAGAAACAAACGACAAAAAAGTAATTCCCATGAGGACACCGTGCGTGTTAAAAGAAACGGTACCAGCCAGTCACAGTGGGCAGAACTGAACTCTGTCTCATGGAGACCAAACCTGTGGGTTTGGGCAGGCGGGCGCCGCCGCGGTGGGCTCACCTGGCGGAAGGCGCAGTTGTGCTGTGCCCAGAAACGCTGGTTGCAGTCCTGGGCCTCCTGCCGCGCCTCCCGCAGCCGCCGCTCCAGGGGTGACTCCTCGGGGGGCACGGAGAAGACGATCGGCCGCAGGTTGGAGTGCTTGTCGGGGGGGCCGATCCAGTCACGACGGGAGTGTGCGGGGGGGCTGAAACCCAGGCCCTTGAAAACACAGACAGAACTCATTATGACCACTTTAGCATAGTTTTTGAAGAACAACCCGATGCGAAATAAATTCCAAAAGCCCGCACAGCCTTAAAACATACAATCATAATAAGTTCAGAAATTATACGCGTTCATTTACCTACATCAAAACTTGTGATACATTTAAAATTTACTTTTATTTAGAAGTGCACTACAGAGACTACCTTTGACTCTTTTCCAACAGATGAATCATGATTTTTGTCTTTAAAAGCAACTCTTTTTTTTGCATTTCTGTATCACCGATATTCCACTTCGTTAAAACATTTGCCAGCAAAAACTAGCAAGCGTACAAGCCTTCCCAAGCGCTGCTTTTTTCGTGCATCCTTGCGAACACGCACGACCACGCGGCTTTTCAGACTGGGTTTAGGAAGAACTGGCTCTAACAGCCCGCGACTTACCGCTCCGTTTGTAAAAAAAAAAAAAACCAAA